GGCTCTTACACCAAATTAGTTATGCAAAAAAAAAGAAAAAAGAGAAAGAAAAAAAAGGTCAAGGGTGATGGCTCAGTAGAATAAGTGCTTTCCTGCAAGCGCAGGGTCCTGAGTTCAATCCCTGGTACTACCAAAAAAAAAAAAAAAAAAAAGGAAAGCCTGTTTTTGGAGCCTATAACTAATTACTTCACCTTCATGAAGCTCTAATGAGACACAATTATTCTTTGGCTGTACCAGTGTAAGCCCCTATCATTCCTATCAAGTGTCCTATCATTCCTGTTCAGATCACTTCTCCCGATGTTCCTCTGGCCTGTAGGGAACACGTAGAGCAGTCACCTTTCACTCCAAAAGAGAAGTGTCTTTATGGAGTCATTCTTAGTTACAAGCTCTAAGACAGTACACTTTTTCCTTCACTGAAGCCAGAGACGGCACAGAAAACTTCAGGAACAACTGAATACGTGAGAGGTCTATATTTGCTGTATTTGGGGAGAACATGAGTACTAAGGGAAAGTTTAAAAGACACTTCTCGAGCCGGAGAGATGGCTCAGTAGAATAAGCATTTGCCTGGCAGACACAAGGATCTGAGTTCAATCCCTGGTTCTGCCAAAAATAAATAAATAAAAGACACTTCTCAATCTAAGAGCAGAGGATGTGTTATGAAGCTCAAGTCCATGAGGTTTCATCAAATTGAAGATACAGATGTTGGAAATGGAGAAATCTCTGAATCTATGGAAGTACAGGTAGATTTTTTATTTTTAAGCTGGCTCAGCCTACCCTGAAGATGGGGCTGGCACCTAATGTGGTTCTGGGAATCGAACTGCAGTTCTCTGAGCCTACCTAAGCTTGCCTAAGCAGGCACTTTAGACCACTGAGCTATATCGCCAGCCCCAGTACAGGTAGATTTAGAAAAGCAAATGTTTGAAGTTTCCTAGCATAACTGAGAGCCATTACATATAACTAATTGATAGACTAGAAATCACTCATCTATTAACACAGGGCTTTAAGGATCTTCCTATCACAAATGAGATTCCATAAATACCTCACAATCTGTAAAACTGGAATTTAAAAAACTGAACCAGATGTACCATTAACTCAGGATGGGCTTTTAAGCAGAGTAGTGTGGCATACTCTTGTGTCCCAGAGATGGGACAGGCTTGAGACATAGGGCTCTGTGTATCATAAGCACCCTCTCTATGTGAGGGTGAAAGGACAAAGTCTCGTCAAGACCCCCAGATGGGTTTCCGCTCTGATCTCACTCCTGGTAACTTATCTTTATCTGGCAAATAACTAAGAGGGTTATTGGGAGGACAGAGGCAGATGGGAGAAGTACTCTGTGACTGTGAGAGACCACTGCCACTTTAAGGAGCCACGCTCTGACAGCTTCACTCCTTCTCAAAGAGGTACATCTGTTGTCCTGGGACGTGACACTCCATCTTCCAACCTTACCAAGCTGAGTGTGCCTTTTCCAGACTAACGTGGCAGGCAATTTACCACTCTGCCCTCCTTTCATAATCTACTAAGAGGGACCATGATACACACCTGGTAAATCATCTTCATCTTCACTGAAAACATTTGGGTTGAAGACCGGTAAGTTAATATAGTCCATGGAAATCTTCCGAACTTCTGGGAGATAGATGGTCATCTGCCGTGGCTGGAGATGTAGCAGGCTGGTTTTATAGATCACTGTGGGGAAGAAGGACACAGTTAATACAGACATGGTGGAGGAGAGCCACAGCACCAGTGGGGTCTTGGGAAGAGGAATGAAGGGTCGTGTTCCCTGCCATGAGAAGGCAGATCTGCGCAGGCAGCGCCAAGAACCCAAGGAGCTCTTAATTTCTCTTGACTTACAGCCATACAGGGCATGGTTTCAGACTCAGCAATGGTAAATACTTCATGTAGCTTCATACGCTGCCAACAGTCTGTCTATAGAGCAAAGAATTGTTTTGTTTTGTTTTTTAAGATAGGGTCTTTCAGGCTGGTTTCAAACTCACTTTGTAGACCAGGCTGACCTTGAACTCACAGCAATCCTCCTGCCTCAGCCTCCCAAGTGCTGGGATTATAGGCATGCACCTCCATGCCTGGCTCATGAAACATGCATGTGAACAGTTACCTGCAAACAGGTGCTAAGAGCTGCTGTCTGGTGAAAATGCCCACTAAGAATTTTCAATGTCAAAAACATCTTTTTAAAAAATATATGTATTTGTGATAGGGTCTCAATATGCAGCTCAGACTTGTAGTGATCCTCCTATTTTCAGCCCCCCCAGCACTGGGATTACAGCCATGTGCCACCACACCCAGACACGTCTCCTGCTCAGTGTGCCTGAGGGTGGGTCCAGCACAGCATGAGGTAATGGGGATCAAACCCGTTCCCTGTGTGCTTGCCTAAGCAGGCGCTTAGTCCACTGAGCTATTTCGCCAGCCCCAAAACATCTTTTTTTTTTTTTTTTTTTTTTTGCGGAACCAGGGATGTGAACAGTTACCTGCAAACAGGTGCTAAGAGCTGCTGTCTGGTGAAGGTGCCCACCAAGAATTTTCAATGTCAAAAACATCTTTTTAAAAAATATATGTATTTGTTATAGGGTCTCAATATGCAGCTCAGACTTGTAGTGATCCTCCAATTTTCAGCCTCTTTTTAAAAAATATATGTATTTGTTGTAAGCTGCCAGGCAAGCACTTATTCTACTGAGCCATCTCCCTGGCCACACCCCAAACATCTTAAGAATTAAACACATATGGAGGTGGGTAATAAATTGGCATAGGAAAACATTTTTTAAAATTTCATCTACAGGATAATTTAATGAAAACGGTGGTAATGAGAATGCCAAGTTAAGGAAACACTGGGGAATCAAGGAGCTACTTAAAAGCAATAGGTAAGGGACAGGTGACAAGTATCACATAGGAATAGAATGATGTCATCATTTGGGACTGTATTCTTTTTTTTTTTTTTTTGCGGAACCAGGGATTGAACTCAGGCCTTTACGCTTGCTAGGCAAGCGCTTATTCTACTGCGCTATCTCCCTGGCCCCATGGGACTATAATTCTTGCCTTACTGTCTTTCAACTTTAATATAATGATCGTGACAGATTTATATGGAACTTCCACACAGTTTTTTTTAAGTTTAAGATTTAGTTAGATTAACAGGAATATTCAAGAGAAAGCCCAAATTACAACTAAAATATTTGGAGAGAAAATAAATTAAAAAGTAACAAATCACTGCGGATAGCTCAGTGGAATAAGTGCCTGCCAGGAAAGTGCAAGGTCCTGAGTTTGATCCCCAGTACCACCAAAAAGAAAAAGAAAAAAAAAAAAAAAGTAACAAATCGGGACTGAAATTTCACAAGAGGTTAAAATTAGGGTGAAAGGCCTTAATATTATCTCCGGGGACAGGTAAATACAAAGGTTCCTTACAGTTTAACTTATCATGATAAGCCATATTCCATCTCTACAGGCAGTCCTTGAACATCTCTGGCCTGAGGATCAGGCACTGCTTGGCAGAGCTGCTGCTTTGCTGAAGTTTCCATGCAAGGCTAGTGCTGGGAATGGTGGCTAAAGTGATTTTCTATCCAACAGCAGGAATGGCTTTACCCCGTGTTCACTGCTTCGTTCTCAAGAGAAACATATAAACTTTGATGGGAAAGTTGTGAATGGCTCTATATGGCTTCATATTTCATGCGTTATAAGTAACATTCTTTGTTGATTAAACAGAGAAAGAACAATTTTTAAAAAGACAAAATCCTGAGAAGGGATTAGAAAAACATCATCAGTTGCCTCCACGGAAAAAACTCGGTAGCTGGGGGTGATGATTAGAGAGATTTTTATTATACGCTCCTCTGAATTTTCTGAATTTTGAATCTTCTTTAAATTTATTTTATTGAGAAACAAATAACAATGAGACAGTTTCAAAACCAATTAATAGGACAGTTTCAATAATTAAGACATTGCACATTGTTGTCTTCGTAGTGGTTATTCATAACAAGACGCAGACGTGATATCCTGTCGGAACACTATTAGTACAAATCTGAATTTTGAATCTATTACATATTTTTAAAATTAAGAAGTACAAAAATTAATTAAAATTAAAAATTTCATGGGCCAGTGTCTGACTGAAAGAAATAAATGATCCAATGTAGGGAACAATATTCACTTTTTACATCCACTAGATTTTCTGGTTTTTTTGGGGTGGAGTAGGGGAGGGTAGTACTGGGAATCAAACTCAGGACCTTACATTTACTGGGCAGGTGTTGTGCCACTGAGCTACATCCCCAGCTCTACATCCACTAAAGTAGAGGAGTAGATATTATTTTTTAAAACATTTAATGGGGTGCCATATACAATACATCCTCTAGAATCATAAGAGTTAATTATTTTGTCTAGTAGAATTAAGTAGAAAATTCTTTTAGCTTAACAACTATACGTATCCAAACACAGTGCCTACCTGGCAAGTGCAAAATCCTGAGTTTGAGTACCCATACTTCACCTTCCACACAGAGAAAAAAAGGTTATTGTTGAGGACAATGATTCTGACACTCTAGAACAAGCTTTTGTCTTGGGTACTCAACTGAGTCATCTGGAGCAGTAGGTGCTCAGAGCACTCAGAGGCTCTCTCATTTTAAGGTCCTTGTTAGTTTATTTGTGGATCTATTCATATAAGAAATAAGGGAAGAATGAAAAGATCTATTAAGTAAATTCACACTTCCTTTCCTTTTTCCAATATTTACTAAAGGCAGATGGCTAAATTCTCAGATTACTGATTTGGGGGTAATAATGATATTCAAACAGTGTTTATAAAAAATCAACCACATCTGTCAATAGGGCACTGATGAATACCTGAACAGACTTCTGTGGTCACTAGAGTGTTTCCAGGTTGATGAAAACATTTTAAGTTTTCTTTGCTTTACACACAGGGAAGGTATATTGTTATTTCCAAGTCAGTTTTATGTTTTACTTTTATTCTTCTTTTTCTTTGAGCTGAGAAACCTCAAAATGAAAAATCCAAATGAGTACTCTTTAATAAATCTCTGAAGATGCACACATAACTAGCAACAGGCCTTTTAAGTATCTAATTTGCAAAAATAATTTAAAGCATCTGTGTATGAAACAACTCTTATTGACGGATTCAGAATTTTTAAAAAATAATTGTAGTTTACATAGAACATGTCTGAGACAGAGTCACAGCCCTACTTGGTCTCATGGAGGATGTGTACACTGGAAATAAGCAAGCAACTAAGGAAGATGGGAGTACAGTGTAACTCCTTAGTCCAAAGAGGGATCTACCCAGCAGAAGGAAGATGCTTTGAAAACAATATTTTGCATTATAATTTCTATCTCTGAGGTAAAAAGGACAAGTGGTTACTATACATTTAGAACATAGATGAGTACCCACGTATTGGTTCTGGACTAGGTTTGTACTCCCTTGTTTTACTTTTTTTTTCGGCCTCCAACATCCCATGGACAGAATGTTTGTTATGATCAGCTCAAGACCAGAATGAACTGAGAAATTAAATTTATAAATATTTACTACTAAGAACTATACTGTAAATAGCCAACTTCTTATGTCTTTAATGGGTTTTTCTTCCACTTTCTTTGGAAATTTCTTGTGATTCAAGGACTCAAAGCTATGTCAAAATTTGCCCATTAAGGACAAAATATCTGGAAATCTTTGGGTATTTCTGTAGTTTTGTATTTCTATTAGTTTTTATAAATCAAGGATTATCTTTAAAAAAAAAACACTGTGAGGGCCGGGGAGATGGCTCAGTAAAATAATTGCTTGCCTGGCAAGCGCAAGGGCCTGAGTTCAATCCTTGGTTCTGCCAAAAAAAAACAAACAAACAAACAAAAAAAAAACAAAAAACAAACCAAAAACCAAAAAACACTGTAGTGCCAGTGGCAAAAGCCAATTTGAGTGACAATTCTAATTTTTCTAAAATTATAGTGGCTAGGATAAATTTCTACAACTAGTGTGACTGTTGTATTTCATGTTGGTTCTGACCCCTGAGATCAACTTAGTAAGCAATTTGACTCGATGAAATTTCATGACCATCTTTGTGCTTACAAGTTGTGTGTTAGCTCAAAGCAACTTTTTTTAATGTAGTAATAAATTTATTTAAGAGTGAAAAAAAATAAAATAAAATTATAGTGGCTAGACTCAAAATTTGGAGCAACTTCCACATTTGTCATTAATCTGCTAATCTATACTGTTTTAAGAGTTCATTTTCTAATTTAAACTGCCAAAAATGACTTAATTTTTGGATCTGGTTTCTAACAAGAACACTGACAGAAAAGAATGAGTTTTCTTACCTGCACCAAGGTTAGTTGGCAGGAAAGCAGCCAAGCCCACGATCTTAAATTTGGTTCCCCAAATATTGGACGTGACCTGAGCAAGATAGTTGTGCTGTGGGGGAGAAATATGAAAAGAAAAATGAAAACTCTTATCTACTTCCCTATTCCAGGATATATTTCCATGAGTTAGTTGTAAGAATGTTACAATTTATTGCTTTAAACATTACAGGTATGAGCTGAATAGGGAGGTGCAAGCCTATCACCCCCACATTTCAGGAGGCTGAGGCAGAAAGATTAATAATTCAAGCTCAGCCTGGTCAATTCAGTGAGACTCTTTATCTTAAAAAAAACAAAAAAGCAATCTGGGGATATAGCTCATTGTGAAGGTCCTTCTTCGTTTCCTCCACAACTCTGCCATTTTTGAAGACCAGATGCTAACTGGAGCATGTTGAGTTCCCATTTTCTAATGGCAGCACGCTGAGCTAGGAGTGAGTGCTTGTTTTTCCAATGTCTATATGTATGAAGTTTAAAAAGCTAGGTATAATAGCATACCTACAGCCCCATCTACTCAGGAAGCTGAGGCCAGAGGATGGCTTGAGCCAAGGAATTAGAGGTTTGCCTGGGAAATATAGTGAGATCCTATTTTAAAAAATAAGTAAATAAAAAATTTTAATAGCTTACCAAAGTGATTTGGGTATGTTTTTCTTTCCTTCTCTTTTCCCCTAATCACTGAACTAGAGAGAGAATCTTAAATCTGAATCCAATTATGCCCTTAAAGTTTTCACTGAAAAGAGCTACACTGATAATGATTATATCCTTACACTACCAAATTACCTGTTTTCTCACTCAAATAAAACACATTTCAAAAAGTTATCACTATGCAGAAGCATGAGTACGTGCATGGGAGCAAAAATACAGATGAATAAAATCTACTTCCTCAAGAACTTTATAACCATATGAAGAGAAAGGCTCATAGTGACTTTTATAATGTCTCTGAGAGATGTCAGGGGTAGTTAGACATCTGATGTCCCATGTACTATGCCTTCGCCAGTGCAGAAATCCTTCATGACAGAGGTGGCATTAAAGTTAGGTCTGGAAGTGAGGGCAAAAATAGGGATGAGGAGATGGAGTAGGTGACTCAGGCAGGACTAAACTTTGGAGCTATGACGGGGGTTCTCCCCAGAAACTGGGGAATCACTGTAGGACTAGAATTGGCTTGAGTGTAGCAAGGAGGAAGAGTGTAGAAGTATCTCAGCCAGACCTCCACTGGAGGAAGACTCCTACAGCAGAGGCATGGGGAGCACAGCCAGATGGCCTGTATGCAGGTATGGCAATAAGTGGGGCAGACAGGTTGGGAAGGAAGGTGGCATATCCAGGTGGCCTGAGGGTTCAATCAAATCAGGCCAGCATTGTCAGACATTCGACTACCTGAGTAATGTCTTCAAAAGGAAATTCTCTCCGCGTCAGACTGGGTGAGCCAATAGAGGGCTTGCGTATGGGCAACCGGGGAGACCGGGAGATCTCCTGAGCAGCCCTGGGCAGTTTGGGAGACTTCCGGGCTTCAATGCTGATCCTGTGGAAACAATACCAGGAAGGGTCAGGCACCCACAGAGTGAGCAGGGTTGGACCCAGCACTCCACCTCCCTGTCTAGACAGTCCAATATGGATGTCAATTCTCAGTGGCCAGGGCACTAATTTCACAAGGCTCTTACTCCTGTGCTTTAGCTTTATGAACATGAATAAAGAATAACAATTGTCTACTGGATAATATACACAATATTTAAAAATATACTGAGATTAGATCAAGTGATTTAGTTGTAAGGAACCTGAGGAAAATTAACTCTTTCACTTTCTACCTATCTACAGAAGGTATGGAAATGTCTATATCTTTGCATAATTACTTTTGGGTCAAATGGAAGAACGGAAGAGTCACTTCTTATCCAAAGGCCACAATGATTTTAAAAATTCTATGACAGGCTGAATTTTAACAGATTTATCTAATACTTTATACCACCTACAATAAATCAAGCAGTGAATCTAAAGCTTTTATGCTGCCTTTTGATACTATGCTGTACTTTTGTTTCTCAAAGATTTCTCTCCTTTATAAAGTGAAGATATGTGTTTCATATCATTCTACTCCAGAAACAGTTTTATAACGTGAATACTGTAAGGTTTATAACATCCTATAAAAATGCATTACGCCTCTTGTAGATTTTTTTTGGGGGGTGGTATTGGGAATCAAACTCAGGACCTCATGCTTGCCAGGCAGGTGCTATACCGCTGAGCTACATCCCTGGCCAAAGACTCTTGTGTATTACTTGCAAGCCTGATGTACAACTCCTCCAGGGAGCCTGAGGAATGGGAGGACGGTAGGCCACTGATTAAAGCTTTGAGACAGGACCATTAGCCCAGCTGCTGTGTAGAGGGGATTTTAAGTGGGAGGAGGAGAAAAGGGGGCCAGCCAGAGAAGAAACATCTTAAAGATGTTAGACATACATAGGGTAAAGAAGGGTTGAACTGTTTACATGGGAACATCTCTCTCAGCCTCTAATGACAAAAACTTAAAACACTAGAAGTATGGAAAAGTTTATGTTTTTTTTTCCTCTACCAAGAATCGAATTCACAAACTTATGCTTGCCAGGCAGGCACTGTGCCACTAAACTATATCCCTGGCCCTATCTGTCTTGCTTTTGAGACAGGGTCTTATTATGTGGTTCAGGTTGGCCTTGAACTCACTAGGTAGCCTAGGCTAGCTTCAAACTCATGCAAGTTCTGACACAACCTCCTGAGTGCTGGGATTAAGGTGTGTACCAACACACCCAGTTGAAAAGTTCATAATTTTATGTATAATTTTTACAAAATTTAGAATAAAGATGAAAATATAAACAGTCTTCTCTATTAACTGAGTATCTATGTGGAAATAAAAATGAAGGGTTATCCCTTAATTCACACACAAAAAAATTTGGATGTAAAAAGAATCTGGATGTAAAATTAATCTGAGATACAAAGTAACAGCTGAAATTCTAAAAGGTGCCAGAATAGAAGACCATCTTTATGGCCTAGGGTATAACAGGATTTCCTGAACAGGACACAAAAGGCCTTAACCATAAAATCTCATATACTATTCTGAGCTATCTGGCCACACACAGATATGACAAACACACTTATTATATGTAGAAAACATTAATTACTCAAATACAGGAAAATAGCCCAATAAGGAATGGACAGAAGAGCTGAACAGACAATTCACAAAAGGTGATAGCTAGATCACTAATCATTGTATGAGAAACGTACAAAAAAGTGCTCAGAATCAGCAATCACTGGAGATACTACAATTAAGCTACAAAAAGATACTACAACACATCTACCTGAGCAGGCAAAATTATTTTTTAAAATAACTATCAACCTTTAAGTGAAAATGGAGGCACCTACAACTCTCCTATCCCTCTTCAGAATATAACTTGGTATAACCACCTTGAGACACTGTTTGGATAGGTAGTTTTCAATAAAATTTAACATATATCTAACTAATGACCATGCAATTTCCTATGTCCATGTGCACGAGAAATGAAGGCATATAGCCACAAAAGTTTTATATAAGAATGTTTATAACTGGAAACTATTATATATCCATTGATTGATTAAAAAAGATAAAGATATTTATTCATTCCCAATTAAGTTATCCCACAGATCAGTAAAGAAAAACAAACTATTATTATATGTGATGAAATAGATAAATCTCAAAATTACTGGATGAGTAAAAGACAGATTAAAAAGGGTATACATTGTTTGATTCTATATATATGAAATTCAAAGCTAAGCAAAACTAGTCTGTTGTGACAGAAGTCATATCAACTGAAAAAGCACAAAAGACCTTCTGGATTATAGGCACATTATTTTGCACCAGGCACAGACACACCGGTATAGTAACTTCCCCATGACCTAGTTGTTTAAGGTCCAGCATTTGTGGTACACACACACACACACACGTAAAGTGAACCTTAATTTTTTATAGTACTACAGAACTGTAAAGTTAGCAAAGATCATGGTGAGGATCTGGTTCAGCTATTAATGTCCACAGAGAAGGAAACTCCAAAGTCATACAGCCTGTAATTGTAGCAACACAGAAGATGGTGTCCTCCTTGACAATCCAGGTCCTACTCTTAGCTCTCTAGTTTTACACAAACCTTAGGAACCTTTCTCTCTCTCTCTCTCTTTTGGTTAAGTTTATTATAATTTTCCTAATTGCAGCATTATAGGCATTTGATTTGGTATTCTCATCCACACACTGCATCCACTGTAAGACCTTTTTCTTCCTTTTCTTAAACTGGAAGAAAAAAACAAGCCTGTAAGCTCCGGCCACCCCTATGTCACCTACCATCGTTGATAACCCCTAGAGAAGTTCCGAGGGTTTAGCAAACTTCCTACTGGGTGTCTTTCTATCCTGAAGGAAAACAAAGAAAAGGTGGTAAGAAAAGAAAAGGAGATGTTGATCTTGCTGCACAAGTGTCAGTTTCTTTCTTTCTTTTAATATAAAAAAGTTTATCTGAGCAAGAAAAGGTTCTAGAATTGGGCCACTGGACTACAGATGGTTCAGAATGCACCCCGCCCCCAGTATCACTTTTGATGGGATTCTGTTGCAGGCACAAATACAGTCATATTAGAAGCACAGAAAAGGGAAAGCATTTGAAGACTGAGATTACCTTGGGAGTTTGGGTGATTTGCTTGCTCTGGAAATTTTAGGAGATTTCTTAGCAGCCCAGTCATCACTCAGTTCAATGTCACTGGAGTCGGAGCAGTTGCAGCTGTCAATTACAGTGGAAATCAGGCTGTTTCCATAGATCTCATCTGTAAGACACCAACCAACAAGCATAAGGGAAGTTAAATCAATTATACTCTAGCAATTACCACTGCTATAAACTAAAAGACAGACTCTGTAACCCATCATTTCAGAAAAGAACTTAGCAGTGTTATTATTTTTTACATTTTTATGCTATTTCTAAGCAAAAATAGGCAACTTCTATCACTGTCAAAAGGGCATGGTATTTTAAATACCTCTAGGGATGTATAAAACAATCTTGAACTGCTTACTTTACTGAAAACTGAAATTAAAATGGCTATCCATGGGACTTGTATGGACTTTTGTACAGCCCAGAAACCTAAGTTGTAGGAGGGCTCACTGACGTACTCTCTGGGAACCTGGCTCTGATCTGGGAAGGCTCTTGTTGGCCCAGGCCTGATATCACTCACTTCTGACAGTTAAGACTGTGCTGAGGTCTTCTAGCTGTTTGTGTCTGTAATGTGAGGCAGTCTGCTGGAAATGACACAAGCTGTCAATGGGGGCCTGCCTATTCCAAATGGCATAGTTGCCTGTTTGTTGGGATCATGGCTGAAGGTGAGACTTTGTGTACAGGGGACTTTCAGTGCTAGCTCTAGGTTGATCTGTGGGTACTATGAATGGATGTTACTCACAACTTGGCCAACTGTTCACCCACAAGAAAATCAGAAAACTCAAGGCAAAAGACAAGACAATTGCAAAGATGACAGCGCTTATCATTCTTGAAATTGCTTATCCCTGCCACAACCTCCAAGTGCCCCCACCAACCCTCACTCCCTCAAACTAAGAACCACATTATTTGTTAACTAAAACTATTCCCTTAAGGCTCTAAGAGACTTGCCAGGAAATAAAAAAAACCTGAATCACCACCTCACACCAAAATGAGTGAGTGATTTTACCAAAGTATCCACTGACATCTCAGAAGATGTTAATTCAAACCCACCTCTGAGTTTCTGAACATGTGGAGGTGACACCTGTAGATAGGGGCATCTGTGAGGCAGTACAGGTTGGCCTACTACTTGAAAAAAGGCTGGCCTCCAGTTTGTACCATTCCCTTTTTAAAATACTGAAGGCACGGCCCCCTTGTATTCAGCAGATCAAGGTGCTGTGAGTCTCAGTTCAATCACATAAAATGGCTTAATTCATGTGCCTGAGTAGTACTTTATTCTTATTTAGGAGTTAGAACTGATTCTTTTGGTCACTGGACCAAAGGAAGCTCAGCTGTGATTCACTCAAGCAAGCACACAGAATGCTTCCATGTATGCATTAGTAGATCTGAAAAGTACAAATATAAATCATGCACTGCCCACTAACCACCAACTTCAGTGTGCACACAGATTAACTCAGATGCTCTATCTCATGCCACTTATTTCTCCTTTACTCATAACTATTTTTAATTGTCCATCTTCCCAACCAAAGGGTAAGCCCCACAGGCAGAAGAGCCATCTTGCCTTGTTTCCTCTGCACCCCCAGGAACTAGAACAAACCCTGACTTGGATGGGGACTACCTGAGGGTTGTATGAGGACAAAGCTGCCTTCTGAACACACACATGAGCTCTGCTTGTTTAGTTATAACTGTGCATGGGCAGGCACGGTACAATTGATTCCTCTGGTGTCATCCGCCATCAACATAATGAAAAATGTCTACATTCCATTAGAGCAACACTCAAGGAGGCCACGACGGTAGCAGTGTATTTTTCAACACTTCTAGAGATTCTGTGTCATCATTCATCATGGAAGTTCTGGAACAAACATCCAAGGTATAGAAAAACAAATTTGGATTGGTTTCTGGGCACTAAGACAACTATAATATTAGGGTTCATGTTCCAATTTTGAAGGCCTTCCAAATCTACAACCTGCTTTAGATTTCATTTTTGTTTTTGTACTGGTGATAAAAACAGAGCCTTTACTTTGAGCTACATGCCCAGCTCTTACTTTGGGGTCAAGTTACACTAACTTGTTAAGTTCTCAGGGTGGGCCTAAAATTGGGATCATCGTGCCTCAGTCTCTCATAGTGCTAGGATTACAATCATGTGCCACCATGCCTGGCTTCAAAAGCTATTAATGGCTTTTTAACATATGCTCTGACTTAAGTCTGCTTAGCTACTATAACTAACTTCCATAACTTGGTGGGCTTCAACTACAGAAATTTGTTTTCTGACAGTCTCAGAGCTTAGAAGTCCCAGATTAGTATATCCACAGGGCAAGATTCTAGTGAAAACTCCTACCAATTTATAAACAGATGTTTCTGTGCTGTGCTCAGATGGGCTTTCCTTAGAGCAGTTCATGGAGACAGATATCTCTATTTCAGGTTCTTCTAAGGCTACATCCTTATGATCGCATTAAACCCTAAAAAGACTTATCTCCAAATATAGTAACATGGAGAGTGTAGTGGGCATTGACAACTGGTGGTCAACTTGTAACACCCAGCTGAACTGAACCTGCATGGTGCTGGGTGTGGGAGGCCCACCTGAGTGAGGATTGCTGCCAGAACCGTAACAGGCAGAACTGTAGAAGAAAACAAAGTTATTAGGAAACTACTGGGAGCTGTTTGTTCTCCTGGAGGAGCCTGCCATGCTGCATTTCCTGATGAACTTGGCTGTTCTTACTGTAGAAGGTACTCAGGACCCTGTTGTCACTGAAAATGGCTATAGTTCACTTTGGGGAGCTCTGGTCTATACTTCTGAACTTTGCTTCCTGGTTCCAGTATAGGGGGAAGATAGTGCATGGTTCAATATCCTGGAGAAGTTTGTCACACTGGCTTTCCTGATATAGGCTCAGTTGGTCTCATCACTGGAGGAGCTCAGGACCTTGTCACTGAGGATGGCTGTGGTACCTTTCAGGGGAGCTCTGGTTCTTATTTTGAGTGTTGCTTCCTGGCCCCAGTGTAGATCCCTTAGTCTACTAGCATAGATCTTTCATTCCGCTGACCTTTGGGTCTTACTAATGCAAATCCACAAAACAGGCCTGCATGAGACACTGTCTTGGGTTCTTGGCCTCCAGTTAGACTCTAGGGAATTCTTTTTTTTTTTTTTTTTTTTTTTTT